TATATAAATTTTAATATTTTACTTATTATATTAAAAGATGTATTTATTATTATATATTTCTTTCTTATTCTTTTTTAAAACGAACACATATTTTTATTTTATATATTTATATATATATTTTATATTATATTATATATTATAAATTGTATACAACAATTAGATGAAAGTTGATTTCATAATCAGTTTATTTTTCTATGTGAAAATATTTTTTTATTAATAAATATATTTATAAATTAATAGAAAACAGTCATAAAATATATAATTTAAAAAAATCAAAGAAATGAAAAAAATTAGAAAAAGTATATAATTCAACATAATATTATTGTATAAAATATTTTATAAATTGGAAATTCCGAATAATTAAATATCCAAATTAAGATGCATTTTTGAAATAATTTCATAGAATTCTTTAATTTATTAATATTAATATTAATACAATATAAATAATTAAAAATATAAAATCATTTTATTTAAAATTACATATTTGTTTTTATTATAAATTAAGATTTTTATCTTCTAAAAAATAAAAAAAAAATAAAATTATATTTCAATCTTGTAGATTAGAGACGAAAATTTGAATTATAAAAATTATAATATTGAATTAAATAAATGAATATTTATTAATTATAATTAATTATTCAATTAATACTTTGTAGTTATTATTATATTAATTATTCTATCATTATGATTTTAAGAAAAAAGATTATTATTTCATTATAATATCATAAATTGTTACTAACTATTTTAAATAAACAATCAAGTAAAATATTAATTTTTTTTTTAAGCAAAAGATATATTATAATTCGAAAGTAGAAATCGTTAAATAATTATATACTTCTACATGTTTATACTTTCCTTTGTAATAACAAGAAATCTAATAAGAATATCTATGAACAAAAGAAACGAAAAGTATTCCGAGATTCGAAGAAAAAGAGAGTAGGTAAGCGGATAGATATAAGGACAACCTACTTTATTGGAATTATTAGTTTGTTCTATGATCCACATCGGAGACAACTATTAGAATCTACAAATTGACGTTTTATCATGAAAATAAAATTGTCACAAGTAAATCATAAATATTTTAATCACATGATTATTTTACATTTTAATCATTGATATTTTAAAAAATCCATATTGTGATAATTTTTCTTTTTATAGATATCTCGTGCATAATTTAAAAGTTGTTCTTCAAGAAATATAACTTTTGTTTTTAAAATTAGTGATAATTTTAATAATTAATGTGTAAAATATATGTTTTTAATTCAAAATTTAACAAACATAAAAATATTTAAATTTTAATAAATTTTATAAATTATATAATTTTTTTAAATGATTTTTAGCTTATTTTAATTTTAACGACATTGTTGGTTACTATATCTCAAGGATTCCTTTTCGGATTGTAAGTAAAGTTAAATTTTAATTTTGCAAATCTTGAAAAATTATTTTTCAATGAAATTTATTATTATTATATTTAATATTATATCAAATTAATTATTATTTATCAAATATATTTTATTTATATTTCTTTTAGATTTATATAAAATTATATTAAATTTAATATTTTAGATTACTTTGAATTAGCTTAACTATTTATATTATAGATATTTAGTAAAGAAAATATATTATATATTGATAATTTATATTTTATAGTCCTAGGAATGTATTAAGAGATTTTTTGCAATTATTAAAGGAAAGGAAAGAAGTAAAGGAAAATCTTCATATAGATCATTATCATATGTATTATTATCCAATAGAATATTCAATATTTGAACCACGATTAAAAGCACCTAAAAAATACGAATTAGAAGAAATACATAAGTAAATTTGAATTTTTCATATTTTTGATATATATATATATCATATTTATATAAACAATAAATAAACAAATGAACACTATTAATAATTTTTTAAATAATTATTAATAATTTTTTAATGAAAAACATCTTTTAATTTTTAGCAATCATTTGGCAACACTTGGATGGTCTAATCATAAATATAAATATATTCCTGAACCCAAAATTAAAATTTCTTCTAGTTTATATGATTCGTGGAAACAATCTGTGTTCTGGAATCATGAAAGTTTTGATTGATACGCGTAGATATATACAATATTTATTTTATTTTTCATTATGTAATATACATTTTTCATTATGTATATTCAATATGATATAAATAAAATTTTATGTAAGAAAATAATAATTTTATAAATAAAATAATATAAATAAAAAATATAATAAAATAAATAAAAAATAATAAAAAAATCTTATATAATAAAAAAATAAATATATCAGCATAATTAATATTTTTAATATTTATTATATAATATATTATATTTAATTTTACCACATTATACAAATATTAACCATAATTACAATTATTTTTTATTCATAAAGTTTTAATTTACCATATCCAGATTCTTGCATCTTTTCAAAAAGTGTTTTATAAGAAATTTCTAATAATCGAGACATCATCGATGGCAGTGGCAACTTTCTCTTCTCGATACGAATATTTTGTTGTTCTACATGATCTTCATAAAGCTTAGCCATAAGAAGTATCATATACTTACGATCAGTTAATCGTACAATATGACTTCCCATCACTTTCTCTAATCGAAATTTAACTGGTGGATAATTTATTCTATAACAAATGTGTCGATAAAATTTAAAAAAAATAGTAATATTTTATTATTATAAATATTATATTATAAATTTTATTATTATGAGACAATAATAAATTAAGCACATATTTATATATACGCATTTACGTAGGATTTAGAAAGGATTAGAATTTATAATTGTATTTAATATTATACAAATAATTTGATAATATTATTTAATTTTTTTTTTAACATTTTGCTTTTTTTATTTTGTTTTTTATTAAATAATTTTTATTTATATAATTATTAAAATTATCAAAAAGTATGTCTTGATTTATATATAAATTTTTAATGTAAATATAAGAAATTGAAATATAAATAATAAAAATATATAATATAATAAAATAAAAAATTATATGAGCAATAAAAATTATAACTTACGCATATCTTATATGTTCGGTTTCCCACCATTGTAAAGGAACATCATAAGGATCGATGGCGGAGGTAAATACTGTTACATCTTCAGCTGGTTTTTTAAGTTTTTTTTGTGCTTCTTTTTTTTCATCATCTTTTTTATCCTCCTCTTCTTTATTTTCTCTTTTAATTTTAGTCACTTTATCTTTATATTTTTTCTTTTCTTTATGATTATTTTTTTTCTTATTATATTTATTTTGCTTTTTTTTTATTAATGTTTGCATAGTGAAACGATTATTTTTATGCTACCTTATTTTTGTCATTTGAAACGAAAATTAATTAAAATTAATATTTACAAAAAATATATTAATTTTTTAAGTTATTAAATAATATGATTATTAAATTGATATTAATTGATATTGATATAGTTAAACTTAAATTTTGTAAATGAATATAGTAATAACATATAAAAAACAAACGCATTCAAAATTACAATCTAAGAAATTTAAAAAGATTTATTTAAGAATTTGAAATAATGATATTTATAATAAATTAAAATAAATAATTTTAGATATAGATAGAATAAAATAAATATTATAATAAATAATTAAATAAAATTTATTTTATTTAATATTTTTTAAATATTATATAATAATAAATTAAAATATATGTATTGTGATATACAAACGTAAAAATAAAATTGTTTATTAATGTTTGATAC